CAGTCTGAAAAGTTCTCGACCTGATATACATGGTATTAGAAACTGTCAAACTATAATTGTATTGGAAAGTGGCATCCCTGATATAAACCCATGTAAAATTTTATTCGATCTGTCAAATCATTCGAGTAGTAGCACCAGTTGAAAAAGCTTTGTGCAAGATGCGTGCCGCATGCTAACAATTGATCAAAAACGCATTCGAATGCGTGTTTGTCAAGCATGTTTGTCGTCGATTTAAAAGCAAAATAAAATGAATTTCAAGCGTCGTTTCGTAACTGTTGATGAAACTTGAATCCACCACTATACATCAGAGCGAAAAGAACTTTCCGGAATCACACCACTTTAATGATGGTATTGAATTATTGGAAAAAAAACGTTGAAATAAATGTATTGAAGTTTCAGGAGATTATATTGAAAAATGAAACATATTTCACGGCAAAAAAATTTCTTTCATCGTTAGGCCGAGAACTTTTCAGACTGCGTATTCAGACCTCGTATTTGCAACGACATATGTCCGATGAGCTCGATCGACGTCGCTCCTCTCGTATGGTCTCTTCCGACTTCCAACATACTAGGAGAATAACTGGGAAAATGTAGAAGATTTGATTTATTTATTCAATCCATTTATTTCTATATACTTTCTAAACAATTTTTGAGTTATTTTCTGTTCGATAAACAAGCAACAATGCGCCATCGTGCACCATTTGTAACAATGCGGCGCCTGGATCGCATTTTTCATTTGCATAAAGAGGCGCGTACGGATTTTGAGCGATTTTCGCCCCTTGTCGTCGTTGCGCGATCCATCGCACGTAAGCTTGGCCGAGCGTACGATCGAATTCACTTGCGTTCATCGCGTACTCGCGAGCCACCGCTTCGGTCGACGCGACTCGCTTTTGCCCTTCGACCAATTGTAAAAAGTACAAAGTGGCAAAGCGTCGAACTACCTTGTAATAATTTATTTCATCCGCTCGCGGATCAAAGTCTCGAGCGAGCACGAAACGAGTGCAAAGGTAGTCTTGTTCGGTCGCAACATTCTGCCTCGTCGAGAGAGCGAATACGCACTGAACGCGTTCACCGATATTATAACCGTATTTTTTTAGCGTATCTTGAATAAATGTGGCCTCTGCGTTCGATACGGTGCGCGGATTCAATGCCAAGTTGAACGAAAAAGACTCGCCACCGTGAAGGTGGCGCATATTCGTGCAACGCGTCGTACATAGCCTCAAAGAACCGTGTCAGCTCGGCGACGATCAATCGATGCGCTTTCAATATATTCGGTTCGTAGGATTCAAGCGCCAACCACGTGGCTATAACGTTCAGTTCCAGCGAACGCACGATATGTTTGACGAACGGCTGCGCGTTTTTTTCGAAGCCCTTTGTTATCGCACGAAAACTGGTGGCGTTGTTACCGCTCATCCATTTCCAGTACTTCTTTTTGCCCATGATGGAACATGCTTCGTCGGCGAAATCATCCAAGTCTACAGAAATATATGTTCCACCGTAACGACGAAAGGTGTCGTTCATCAGTGCGACGAGCCATCGTTCGCAGCACGATTGCTCCAGTTTGGACAAGGGACGCTTTTCACCACTTTCGCGATCTGTTAGTTCTAAGTATACGATGAGTCCATCCGTGTCACGATACACTACATTTTTTTTTTTTTTTTTTTTGACGAGGAGGAAATTCATCATGGATACCCCGACCCTCGGGGAAGGGCCAGGGTTATGCCGGACTCCTACCGGCTAAAACCTCCCCGGGTGGCGCTGCGAAGGGACTTGGGTCGGGGCCCCGGTGCCGCGTAACTGCTAATCGGGGCCCCGAGTTCAGGTTTGCACCTTCTGTCCCTGAGGGGCGGGGCGGGGGAGGGGGGAAGCCGACCCGGGGGTCCGCTTCGACCACCGCTCCCCCAGGGGAAGGGGGAAGCCGGCCCGAAGGCCCGCTTCGACCACCGTTCTCCTTTCCCACCCCTCACGCCTCGTCTCTTCGGTCGGGAAGGGGGAAGCCGGCCGAGACCCGCTTCACCACCGTTCCCGACCAGACGAGGCGCCGCCAATACACGTTGTGTGGCTGACTGACCCGCCGTATCAGCCAGCCACCCTACGTTGGGAGGGCTAGTTGGAGCGCAGGGAGTCCCCGCCCGGTGCCCCACCCTCCCGCCCGGCGGTTGCGGGAAGATATACTCCCCTAGCCGCCGGGCTCTCCCCACCTCCGCGGAGGAATGGGGCGGGGGCTCCTAATGATCCCCCTCCCGCATGTCCGATTTACTCATCGGACCTGCGAGTAGGGGGGGGGAGGGGCATTTGTTCCGATGGTTCCTTACCATCGATGCCCTCTCCCCCCCTTATTGTCATCCGACACCCTTCTTCTTCGAGGGTGTCGGTGGTCTGCGGGCATGGGGTCTGGGCCTTAGCCTCAACCCCCATCCGCTCCCTTCACCCGTCGCTGCCATTGGCAGGGCAGCGAGGGGTGGCGGCGGCGGCGGCGCCACATCCACCCCGACTGCAGGGGCGGCCAGCGTTGCTACCGCCGCCATCAGCGGGGCGAGCCTACTCAGCACCACCACCGCCACCCCTCTGTCTCTTACGAGGGCTCCCAGCTGCCCTCTCCATGTCCTCCTTCCTCTCGCTCTTCTCCTTATTGGGGGGGGAAGCAAGGGGGTGAGGGGGAGGAGGTGGCGGTGGCTGTGCCCCCAACCTCCTTAGCTCCTCCTCCTCCGAGGAGTCTCCGTCCCCCTCTCTGCTCCTGCTCCTCTCTCCCCTCCACTGACGGTGGCGGTCCCTCCGTCTTTTCCGCCTTCCTCTGCCTTCTGCTCTCCTCCTTTCTTCCTCGGCCTGCTCCTTCTTTCCCATCACCTCCTCGCAAAAGGAGGTGAAGGCTTCCCATCTCTTTTCGCTCCCCAGTATCGCCCGGACTATACTGGGGAGCGAGAGGTCGCAGCCTAACCTTCTCTCCACGACTCCGCGCTCGTTGCTCCAGGCCGGGCACTCCTGGAGCGTGTGCTGCGCGGAGTCGTGGCCATGCCCGCAGTGGTGGCAGGCGGCTGTGCGCTCCTTTCCTATGCGGCACAGGTACTCATCGAAGCAGCCATGCCCGATGAGCACCTGTGCCGCCCTGAAAGTCAGGGCCCCATGGGCCCTTCCCACCCACTCGAGTAGGAAGGGCCGGACGGCCTCGACGGTTCTCCTCCCGTACCTGGCATTGGCCAGATACCTCTGCCATCTTTCGAGGAGGATCCGTCGAGTCTGGTGCTTCATCTCCCGGATTGCCCTGGCGAGCGGTACGTCCGCCCCCCTGTTCTCAGGAGCTCGCGCTTCCTGTCGTACATACGTTTGTACGACAGGGCCACGAGCTCCATAGGGGGCATGCTCGCCAGGACTGTCGCCGCCACGCAGGAGACGGTACGGTAGCACCTCGCTACCCGGACCGCCAGCCCCCTTTGCACTCTGCGCAATCGCGCTTGCATCGGGCGACTGGCGGCCAGCGACTCGGCCCACACCGGTGCTCCGTACATGGCCACCGAGTTGAGGACTCCTGCGTGGAGGCGACGTGCCTTCATGTCTGGTCCCCCGACATTGGGCATTAACCTGCCCAGGTTGATGGAAATCATCCTGAGTCGGGGGACCAGCCTGTTGAGATGTTCCCTGAAGCACCAGGTGCCGTCCAGGGTGAGGCCCAGATACTTCATCTGGGCCTCTATGGGGACCCTGACTTGACCTATCCTGACATGGGCCTGGGGTGGCTTCATGCCCTTGGCGTGGAGGAAAATCGCCTCCGTCTTCCTTTCCGCCACCACCAGGCCCAAGTTGCGGATGGAGCGCACAACCGCCGCCACCGCTAGGTTTGCCGTGTGAACGGCCTCCCCCCAGTCTCTCCCCCCGGCCAGGACGAGCGTGTCGTCCGCGTAACACAACGTGCTACAGCCGGGGGGGAGGGTTGTCCGGAGGACTGAGTCGTACCCAATGTTCCAAAGCAGGGGCCCCAACACAGACCCCTGTGGGACCTCACGACTCATCCCCCTCTCTCGCACCGTGCCATCGGCGTCCGTCCACATGAGACGCCGACCCCGGAAGTAGTCCTCTATGACGGCCGTGAGGTAGGGTGGGAAGCGGAAATAACCTCTCATCGCTTGCACCACCCTACCCCAGGGCAGGGTGTTAAACGCGTTTGCGATATCCAGAGATACCGCGACTGCCACCCTGCCCTCCGACACTATGGCCCCCGAGAGGTACTTCAGATGCAGTACCGCATCTATGGTTGATCTGCCCTCTCGGAAGCCATATTGGCCGTCACCTAAGTCAGGACCCTCCCGGGACATATGCCTCTTGAGGCGGGCTGCTATTATGCGCTCGAAGAGCTTGCCCGCCTCATCCAGGAGGCATATGGGCCGGTACGCGAAGGGGGAATCCTCCGGTTTGCCCTCTTTTCGGAGGAGGACCACGTTGGCCCTCCCCCAGACTGGGGGGAATCTCCGTTCCCTCAATGCCCTCGTAAAGAGGCGCGCAAACGTGCCGCTCATGTACCCTGAGGCCAGGGTGAAGACACGGCCGGGGATACCATCGGGTCCTGGAGCTTTTCTGCTCTTGACCCCCCTGGTAGCCTCGGCCACCTCCTCCTCGGTGACTCCCGGAACCTCCCCCTGATGTTCGGGGGAAGGGGTTACATACGGGGTGATGGGGTCGTCCCCCCCAACCGGGAATAGGGTCCCCATCACCCGTCCCAGGAACCGGTAGTCGAGCGTCTCCGTCAGAGGGGGCGCCCATGGTCTCAGCTTTTGCATGACCATCCTGTATGGGCGCCCCCACGGATCCGCGTCCAACGAGAGGAGGAGGTCGTCCCTCCCCTTTCCTCTGGCCACCCCTATGGCGTTCCGGAGTTCTTTCGCCGCTGCGCAGAACTCCCGCCGGGCGGCCAGAGTGACCTCAGGGTCCGCGTCCCAGCGCACTGCTCGGAACGCACGCCTGAGGTGGACCGACCCCCGCCGCAACGCGGCAATTTCGTCGGTCCACTACCAGGCGCATCGTTTTGGGCAGACCCTGACTCTGGGCATGGAGGCATCGCACGCGAGTGCGAGAACCTGCATAACCTCCATGACCTCAGAGTCAAGGTCCTGCCCGTCCTTCCACTGCGGCCAGGTGGAGCCCATCAGGGAGATTTCCAGGTCCTCCCTGTTTAACTGGGCTAGAGCCCATCTACCGGGCCGGGGTCCGTCCGTGTTGCGGGGCCGTAGGCCATCGGGGGTGACGGAGAGCTCCATCTCTATTAAGAGATGGTCAGACAGTGATTCTAGCTCCTCCGCCACCCTCCAGGTCCGCACCCTTCGCAGGGCCGAAGGGGTTGCCCAAGACAGGTCGATAATAGACTCCCCCCTCGACCCCACGAACGTGGATTTTATGCCATCATTCATAATGTGCAGACCTAGGCCCACGGCCCAATCCGCTGTTACCTCCCCCCTCCTGTCATCGCGCCGGGAGCCCCATAGCTCCGACTTGGCGTTGAAATCGCCGGCGACGATGACAGGACCCGGGAGATGTCTCTTGATGACATCTCCCATTTCTTGGAGCCTGGACTTGTAGTCAGCCAAGCCCAGGCTCTTTTCTGGGGGGAGGTATACCCCGACCACGGTGACGACTCCCCACCTGGCCACAACGAACCCCCTGCCGCGATCCAAGTACTTGGCAGGGGGTGAGCTGTTGCTCGCCTTCCAGACTATAGCGACAGAGCCCAACTCGTCCCCGAACCATCTATGGTTCCTGGGGACGTGATGGGGCTCTGCCGCTATACCTAAACCTGCACCGCGCTCCGTCATCGTGTGCTCGAACAAAGGGAGCGCTTGACGGGCGCGGTGCAGGTTCCCTTGTAACAGTTTAGTGTCCATTATCTTATTCCGTTATAATGACAATCTTCTCTCCCGGCTGTTCGCCGTCGGTGTCCTCACTTTCTATTTGTCTTGCTCGTTTCTCTTCTCTCTTCTCCTCCACCTCCATCCTCCCATCATCAGTGGGGGGCTGAGGGGGAGGTGGAAGAGGGAGGGAGGCTCTTCTCCTCCTTTGAGGAAGCGGGGGTTGAGGTTCCAGCTCCCGGTTTACCCCCCCCCTTCGCCTCCTTTCCTTCCTGGGTCTCTCTCCTCCTCTCCTCTGAGGGAGGGTCTCGTGGCGGCGGTGCGGTCGCCATACCCCCTTCCACCGCATCCCCAGGGATTCTCTTCTTTCTCTTAGGGGGACGGCAGGATGGCCCCCCCATTCTATGGTCCGACTTGACTCCCGCCTCTGCACAAATTTGGCACCTGGCTCTGGAGTTACAGTCCCGAGCCAGGTGTCCAATTTCTCCGCATCTGTAACAGTTTGCACGCCTGTCATAGCTACTTTTGCAATTGACTTGTACATGCCCTTTCTCTAAACATCTGAAGCACTGCAGTGCTCTAGCCTGCAATAGCTCCACTTTAGTTAACGCCCATCCTATTGTAATGTTGCCCTCCTCAGCAACCTTCTTCGCTGCCACGAGGGGGCATTGTACCCACAACGTCCGGTAGCTGTTCCAGGCCATTCTCATTTTTCCCGTCTTCACATCTCCTACTCGACAACCTCCTACTTTGGCTACTGCCTCTGCCACTTCACTCTCCGTGGTGGATATCTCCATGCCCTTTATTCGCAGCTCTCCCATTTTTTGCGGTCTACTTATTTTTGCTCTGTCGGTAAGTACCTCCTTGAGTTTGTCAGCGAGTTGATCCGCCTGCTTGCCCCTTTGTTCCCCAGGTATTTCTATTACCAACGCTCCTGTGGCCCCCACTCTGGTCTTTATTTTTTCTATTCCAATCCCGGTGAGATCGATCTTTCTTTTGGCCTCCGCCAATAGATCCTTGTATTGTCCCCGTTCGGCGGTAATGGTTACCGCCGCCGTGTTGGGGACTCTCCTCCTGTTCTTCTTTCCCTCCTTTCTTTCGATGTTCACCACCCTTTTTATCTCCTGCCTTTTCTGTGTTTCTTTCTCCTTCTTCCTTTCCCTCCTACCCACTACTTTTGTCCACGTCTCTTTTTGTGGTGTAGGAGTTTCCTGTACCTGTTGTTGCTTTCTTTGCGATTGCGTGAGTGGTAATTGAGGGTACTCCTGATCATATTTGTTTCCCCCCCGTTGTACCACACCCCGGCTCCCCACTCCCTTTACCTTGTTATCTTTCCCGGCCCCTTTTTTGGGAGTCTCCTCTCCTTGTGCTGTCCAGTCATTTAATGCTTTAAACACCATCCTTGTTATGTCTCCCTCCAGTCCTTTCCTTGCGTTCTTCTCTGGTTCCTCCCTCCTTTCTACCCTAACTTTTGTGTCAAGGAGGATGTTCTCCCTGATCTTGGGGCCTGTTTTCGCGATCCTGGCTTCGTTATTCTCCCTCACCGGGCGTCTCCTATCCCCTGGGATCAATCCCTTCTGCACCTCTATAACTCCTATCGGTGCCTCCTCCTCCTCCATCATGTCCACCATAGGTGGAGTTATTGCCCTTTCTCTCTCTACGCGGATCAGGGGCGAGGGAGCACTCGGTACACGCTGTGGTGCTTCTTTTACACCTTGGCTCGCGTTTCCGAAGTGCTTCGAGGGCGGGGAGGATACCGCTACATGAAGCAGCGCCTCCCTTATACCACGGAGCATCTCCTTTACTTCCTCCAGCTCCTTCCTCACCTCCTTCAGCGACGTTTTTAAGTTAGCGTTTTCCGTCCGCAGTTCCTCAATAAGGTCCAGATTGTTCCCGCACTTGTCCTGTGCCATTTGCATGGCCATTACGTTTGCTCCCGCTGTTATGGCAGCTGCGGCGTCTCTGAGGACCTTGACGTGGGTGCCCTTCAAGCTCTTTGACTTCTGCGAGAATCCAAGTACCTTTGTTGATGCTTCCAGAATCGTCGCCGTAATGTCCCGGAAGGGGGCCTTCTGTAGGTGTTCCGTAAGTTTCTTAAGTTCTGCCTTGTACTTCCGGTTGGAAGTGCAGTCCTGGAACTCTTCGAGAGGGTTTTCCATGCCCTTCAGCAGGAATTCCTCCCTTTTTTCTTCCATAATGGCCTGTTTTCTCGCCATGAACTCTTTTTTGAGTCGCTATCCCCCCGTCATTTCTGGCCTGCTCCTACCTCTGGTGGCCTTCTCTACAAGACGTTCCTCGTCCGTATTTCCGTCTTCGTCTCTGGGGATTTCCCACTTCCCTTCCTTTTTCTTTTGGACAATTTTCTCACGTCCATCGTCCGAGTCCTCCTCTTTGGAGGTGGTGAATGGCGTCGAATCATCTACTCTAAGAGGCGATCGAGATCGGTGGCTGTCCTCGATCTTTTCAGCCTTCTTCGTTTCCTGGGACTTTCTGCTACGTAGCCCCTCCCTCCTTGCCGTTGTCTGGCTTCTGCCAGTACGGCTTCTCGTTTCCTTTAGCCTAGCCTGGGTCGTCTTATTCATATTCGTATCCGATGATTCGTTTGAGGAAGAAATATAGTCTGTCATTGTGGTTTCTAACCCACCACTCTGCACGGCTCCGGTGCCCGGGCATGCCCGCATCCCCCCGGCAAGGGGGAGCCTCCGAGTTCCCCCGGAGGAGCACCATATGGCACGGGCCGACGGAATATTACATCGCCGGCACTGGCCTCCCGCCCCCTACACGCGCCCTGACCACCATTTCTGGTGGCCAGACCGCTTTCGGGGGTCCCACACCTCCGACAATGTGGGCACCGTGCAGAGCGCCGCCACGCGGGGGGCCCCATGGAAGGAGATAGTTCACCGGTGTCGCACCCCACCGGGAACGTCTCCCCCATGGCAGCCAGCGTGCTCGCGCCGCCCGAGGGTCCGCTTTAGGGTGATGCGATCGCATTCCCTCGGGCACAGCACACAGGGGCTCCGACCCCGCCTCGGAATACGTCCGAGCGGCCCGGAGCACCCCTCCACTCCCCGGGTACCGTGAGGGGTTCCAAACCCTCACGGTGTGCAGACCCGGGTGTGGGTACCTCTCTCCGCCTGGCCGTGACCAGGACGGATGAGGGAGAGAATCGTTCCCTTTGGCTGCCGGAGCACCGGCGTGCAATGCCTCCGGGAGTGAGTCCTCTGGTTGGCGCATGAGGGTGTCTCGACCCCGACCTCGGAATACGTCCGAGCGGCCCGAGACACCCCTCCACCCCCCGGGTACCATGGGGCAAGCCCCGTGGTGTGCAGACCCGGGTGTGGGTTCCTCTGTCCGTTCGACCGGGGCCGAACGGGTGAGGGAAGTCGGGGAGTCCACCTTCGAGACGAAGGTGGGGTCCTCTCCCCTCGTCACCCTAGGGTGCCCCGACCCCGACCTCGGAATAAGTCCGAGCGGCCCGGGACATCCCCTCCACCCCCCAGGTACCGTGGGAATAGTCCCACGGTGTGCAGACCCGGGTGTGGGATCCTTCATTCGCCCAGCCGTGGCTGGGACGAGCGAGGGAGAGAGGTCCTCCCCTCTTCGGCTGCCGGAGCACCGGCGTGCAATGCCTAGGAGGGTGGGATCTCTCAGGACGCGGTAGCGTACCCCGACCCCGACCTCGGAAACGTCCGAGCGGCCCGGAGTACCCCTCCGCATCTCAGGCACCACGGGGGAGGAGGATCCCCATGGGGTGGAGCCCTGGATGGGGGTACGTCCCTCCGCCCCGGTCTAACCGTAACGGTCCAACCGAGGCGGGAGGAAAGGGTTCTCTCTCTTCGGCTGCCGGAACACCGGCGTGCAATGCCTCGGAGAGAGAGGTCCCCTTCCTGGAGCGAGTGTGGAGGAGGTCATCCCTGTCGGCTGCCGGAGCACCGGCGTGCAATGCCTTCAGGGATGATGATCTCCTCCCACCCGCTCTGTGACCGTGCTGGTCATGGACCAGGCTGGTCACTCAGCCCGGTCGGGTGCTCTTGGTCCAGTCCCTCCGTACAGACCACTCCGGCATGGTAGAACCTGCCAGGGGCCGAAACCCCCGCCGGCACAGCTCTGTACATCATCGGGACCTTCAAGCCTCCCCACCACGTCAAGGTGGCACCCACGGGAAGGACGTACACTACATGGCACGATACGACACAACGCTCAATCGACCTTATCGCCTCCCTGTCCCGAATATGATCAACGTGTAATACCTCATCTACCGATATGCTCTTTGGCTCTTTTTTTTCACCCGCAGCTAGACTGCTGTCCTGTTGCTCGTCGTCGTCGTCGTCGTCGTCGTCGTTATCGTCGTCATTGTTACCTGCTAGGACGCTTAGAATCCTAGCAGCAACGGCGGACGATTCGTTCTCCGTTCTCGTCAAGAGTACAGGAATCGTTTACACAGCCATGACGTTTCGTGAAACGTCTTCCGCGAAAGCAGCGTAATAGCCGCGGCGACCGACGGCGAATAGACCGTGCTTCTAGCGTAATTCAAGTATCCGTACAAACTATTAGCTACCACTTTGTACCTTTTTTCCATACAGGTCGCCACTCTTCGTCGAACCGGATCTAAATCGGAACTAAATTTCAGTTGCGTCTTGTAGACTTTTCGTTGCGCTAGATAATAACGCCACAGACCACATATCACTGGCTCAGAATTGCCGCTGCCGCTGCCGTGCTCAGAATTGTTGCTGCTAACTTGATACACCAGCATAACGCGTCTTTCATTTGGATTTACGCTCGTATCGAGCAGCTCGCGCGAACCGCGAAACTCTGCTCCTTCGTACCAACCGTTTTCAGTATCGCGCAACATTGCGGCCGCGAGGCTGTCTCTTCCGCACAAGCGGATCCCTTTTCGCCGCGCGTTCGAATCAATAGGCTCGTAATCGAAACATCGCAGTACTCCCGCAGCTACGAGTTCATCGAGAACGGCATCATCGCGGTCAACCAAATCGCGCACTTGATTCACCGTCAAAACACGAGCGGTCTCCATTGACAACTTGAACTCGCAGCCGATGGAGGGATAGAACGAAGCGAAATCCACTCCTATGGGGCGACGATAGTGCCCGGCGAGCGCGGAATTTATTCCTCCGATGTACACGCGGCTCCCGATCCGCATGAGGTCTAATTCGTCCGTCACGGAGTAATCGCCGACCTGCCAACGCTGACGCAATACGCGCGGTCCATCGACCCCCTCATTTTCATCGATGTCGCCATCGAATTTGCGAGTTGTCGTCACCTGCAGCATAGTGTACGGCCACATAGTGTTGGTGCGCAGAGGTAGTATAAGTTTGAAATCGCGCAACGCTCGTATGGCAAACGCATTTGGCAGTAGACGACTGTTTCCCGCGTGCGATGCATCTATCAGACCGACGTTGAAATGTTAAGCGTACAGCACCGTCATGTCCAAAAAATTTAGATTTTGCTGTAAATGATACACTGCGGCGCAGTCCTGCGTATTGTACAGGGCTACACGTAGCATATTGACAACGTTGTCAGAATCGAGACGTCCAAAGGCTTGGTCGCGATCGAATCGTTCTTCTCCGTTCTTGTTATAGTACAATTTTCGAATGGCTACCGAGTCAAAGTTCATCTTCAGTTGGCGCGAACGTTCATTGGTGCCGCGTTCTGCCGCATCGGACGCACCAAAGAAGCGCGCTACGTGCGCCAGAGCGATCGAGCCCACTTGAGCTTGGTGTCTGGATTTTACATGCATCATGAGATCGAAGCTAATTTGCGTTTTGCAGAAACGCGGTTCGCTGCGCAAATGTATCATGTGTACCGCATGCTCGTACAGTCCGTAAAAGATCAATCTGCACCAGAGAAAGGTATAATCGTACTCCCACGTATTGTAACCCACGAGAATGCACGCTAGACGTGAAGCATCCGTTGGATTGTCCAAGTTGTACAAATCAGCCAGAAATTCGTTGCATGACAACATTTCTACCACATTGTACAGTAGATCAAGTTCACTTCGAAACAACATGACGTGTCCGTACGTGTCGGCTGATTTGAGACTCTCGCACAATCTAGTCTCTTCTTTGCGCACTTCGTCGTCGTCATCGAGCGGCGCGTAAGCCATGAACAGGTAACCGTATTCTTTGTTGTCTTTTTTTCGATCAGGGTCCTCCTGGCCACGATGAACGGTGAGCGCGAGTGATGATAGGCGTTCGTCGCGCTCCACGCCGCGAGGAACAGTACTTTCCATGTGAGCCACTGTTTTTAAGTCAAAACTGATAATCGGCAGCGTGGCGATCGGATCCTTGGGCAATCCGTTAAGTTCCAATTCGCGATCGGTGAGGCGACATAGCTTCTGTCCAGTTCGTTTGTTCACATGGCACCAGTTGCACATTTCGAACGTAGAATCAACGTTTATGTCTTGTTGTTCGCAGCAGTTGTCATCAGCCGCACCGCCGCTCTTCAATTGGTCATCGCGTGCGTGAAAGTACGAGGCCAGCATAACTTCGAATGCGACCGAGTTATCCACAGCGAATAACATGTAATCATTGACACGAGCGGCGGCGTTGTCCCGGAGGAAAGCTCTGGCTCTCCTTCGCGCACTATACGTTTCGAAACGAAGCTCGTACAGCGTCTGGTTCTCTCGCATGGTCCACAACGATCGATCGATGGATCGGGCCATTGCTCGAACCGGGGTGCGCTACATAGTCATCACGGCCCCTTGTCGATGCAACATCAGAGCGAAATTTATATCACGTCGTAATTCTGCGATAGCTCTGTTTCGCACACCTACGATCAATGTCGGCATCCATAGTATATCCACCGATGAACGCGTACACAGTCGCCTCACGCTACTGTTGCACGAGACTTCCGCGTATTCGAGCGTGTCGATTCGTAAGATATTTTCACCGCTGCTGCGCGAATTGTCAGCGGGAAAGTATACGTTCAGAGGATACAAAATTCTAGCCATGTCGTTGTATTTCCGCGCAACGGCGGTGTCTTCGCAGCGGCGACGGCGGCGGCGACGATGAGGGATGCGTGCGCGCGTATATGTATCTATTGTAATCTTCGCTATATATTGCCGATAGCACTGCTGTCGATGCCAAAGGGCGGCGGTTGCGAGGTGCGTATGTGTGTGTGTGTATGTGTGTATGCGCGCGCGCGCGCACGCGGTCACTCGCTCGAGGCGCTCGACGTC